AAGAAAGAAAAAGGAACACTAGCATACTAAAAAAGCATTTAAACTATTTTATTTTTCTTAAATAAATTCTTATATTTTTATTACATCCAAATAAGCTCTTATCTTTGAATTTATATTAAATAAACTCTTATTTCAAACAAAAGATTAATTTATGTAAAGAGTTTGTTTAGGTACAAATTAAAATTAAAATTTATTTAGATATAAATTAAAAATCAATGATTTATTTAAGTTCAAATTAAAGATTAAAGGTTTATTTAAATATAATAAAAATATAAAAAAATTATCTTAGTAAAATGATAAAATTTGGGATTTGTTTTTTTATTGTTTTAGTTAGAGGGATCTAATAATTTATTACTTTGAATTACCAAACAACTGTTTTACACGTGTAAGCCTATAGCTTGAAAGGGTTTTATATTAATCTTAGATTGTAGTTCCTTTTTAAATAAAAATTAAAAAATTAAAAAATAAGAAAGAAGATATGCAAGACATAAATAATTTATATATACCTTCATATTGATTACACAGTAATTTGTTTGTTTGTTTGTTTGTTTGTTTTTTTTTAATTTTAAGTACTAAATCCAAAGTTTAATATAATATAATTGGGGTATCACATATGTAATTAATCTTTTTGGTTTATTGGAAACTAATAATCTAATTTTCATAATCCTTTGATGATTTAAAAAACAAAAAGTAGATATGCAGGGCATAACTAATTTATATATTCCGTGATGAGTTATGGAATTTTCTTTGATATCATTTCCTTTAGGTTCCTTTTGGATAACTAAGGATAAGTGCTGAGGAATGAAACTTTTTTTTTCCCATGAATGTGCAATTTCAAGTGCAAAAGAAGTTAAGCTTTTGTCACATGCTGCAACATTGGATTTTTGTTTGAAAGCATATGCCTACTCTCTAGTTTTTCATGCATGCATGAACATGATACTTAGAAATTCAATTATTAATTTCAAACCCCAATTGTTTTTGCACAAACCACATCAAAGCTAATAATTGTACTTGTTGAAGTCATAAGATTCATATTCTTAATTTATGGATAGGAAGAGACTCCTTTAATATGTAAAGAGTATAATGGATTTTTGTCATGAATTTGGATCATAGAAGAGGGTTTGGTTCAAATGATTCACAAAAAATAAGCAATTATTGAATTACATATTTAAAAAAAGCTTGTTAGGTGTCACATATCATGCATTACTTTTTTTTCTTTTAATCTAGAAAAGTAAACATTTGATATCGTTTAAGATGGAATTTTGTATCAACTGAACTAAATATTTAGGTATATTTTATTATATTTATTTTTGTTCATAGTCAACTGTTAATGTTTGATTGTTACAGAAAAAATAGCATAACCAAAGTAACCTAACAAGAGATAATCCTTTTATTGATCTCGTATTTTTCATTATAAGATTTGAATTGACACCTCTAATTTAAAAAACTCAAATTTTAATTGAGTTTATTGGAACAAGTATAAAAGTATTAATATATATCATAACTGAAAATGAAAGTAATTAAAAAGTGATAATGGATAATTTATGGCTGCAATTTATTCGAGGAATCAATTTGTTAGCATAACATTACAACTTAAATCTCATAAAAAAACTATAAACTCTTGATTAATTACATCAACATCTGCCCATTAATCAATGACATGTCTTTTACTTCTTATACCATGTTGTAGCTTTGCCTATCTTCATAATTTTTCTTAGCGGCTAATCTTCAATTAATAATAAAAGTTTATATATATTTTACAAAAGAGATTACAATTTAGAAATAGGAAAAGAGTTACTGATTTGAAATCTATTAGATATCCTATTTTAAGGGTTGTTACATGAGTGAATTGCCTTAAATCAATTTAATTTGATTTTTTTACATTTGAAAATTAGCTACATCTCTAATTAATTTGTTATTATCATCTTAGCTAGAAAACATAGAAAAACTATTGGCTAAAAAAACATTAATTTCTTTTTGCAGACAAAAAAAAAGTGAAATGATTCCCTTGATATTCAAGCAAAATATGATGACATTGATGGCACTTTCCCCTTATTTATTGCAAACTTGATACAATTTTTGAACGCATAGGTTTTTTAACCAAAAATGTTTAAACAACTAAGTTATAATTATATATTCTCCACTAATGTTTCATTATTTTTAGTAATTATTACTTTGATGTAAGAAGATAATTAGCTATGCATGGCTGTAATTAATTCCAACTTGATTCAAAAGTAGTGATCTGACATTCCAATTAATATAAATTCTGTTTAGAAATTCAACACCCACCAAGGAATTTGATCCACTAGTCAATTGCAACAAAGTGAAGAACATTCCTAGGTTGTCCGAATATGAAGACAATTTGCCATACATTTGTAAGCAATTTTCATGTTTCAACATTTGTAGAGTTGATTCTTGCAAGCTGTGTGAATTAAATTGACTTTTTGTGTCTTTGATGCATGTTTCTTAACCAACTGGCTTATGTCTAAACCCGTCTGATGGACATGAGTTTTGAAGCTGGAATCTAGTTTAATGGATAAAAAATCATTTTTTATTTAAATTTAATTTTTAAAATATATAAAATATTAATATAAAATTTTTTTAATATTTTAATTTTTTTGAGCAATAATCAAGCTTATTTCACAAATCAAATTAGGTCTTGGACAAAAAATTTTAAAGATCTATGAGACCTGATTTGATCTGATGGATGGACATATTTGATCATACTATCTATCGAATTTTTTTTTAATTTACTATTTAGGTTACATACAATAAAAGATGAAATTCTATATCCATTCTCACATAAAAGGTTAAAAATAAGGATCATGCATAGCTGAAAAAAAATGCAAATTTAAGATTCAATGAGAAAGTTGTACATGAGTATTTGTCTTAATATAATATGTGTGTATATTTTTGCATATTCAAAGACTTAAGTTCGAATTTTTCAAAATAATTTACGAAATTTATTAAAAAACATGTAATTTACTTACTATATAATATTTCTCCAGACTTAAAATACACTAAATTGTTTGTAAAAAAAAAAAAAAAACACAGTGAAGTTTTATTTTTACATTCTAACAAAAAGATATTTTTTAATTATAACCATAATCTAGGAATTTAGAAATTTCTAGTAAATTAAGGATTTTAACAGTGCATTGCCACTTAATATTTTTATTTTTGATTTTTTTTAACATTGTTAATACTTAATATTAGCGTTTAAATAAAAAATTAAATATAAACTTAAGAAATAATAATAATTTAATGGTATCAAATTTAGGGAACTAATCTTGGATTCATGGAATGAAACCAAAAAAAAAAAAAAACATAATTAATTGACAAAAGCAAAAGAAGAAAGAAACAAAAGGTGACAGAAAACTTCCATGAATAGGTTCATCACATTCTGGTTTTATCTGACAGAAGAGATTGGTTTCATGTTATCAATTAAAGTTGATATATGAATAAATTAAAGCAAAATCCATTTCTCTGGTAGTCTGGATCTTATATATGATTGCCAATCTTTTTTTCATTTTTTTTAACACTTTCTAGAAAAAAAATTAAAAATTTGAATATTGAACTTAATTCAGTTGAATCATATAACTATTTTTAAGAGATAATATCCTGTAAGTATAGGCTTCAATTCCCAATTTTTATAATCTCTTGTATTTTCGGACTATAATTTCTTTTATACTAAAAAACTACAAAGTATTATTATCAAAATTTTCATATGAACTGGATAATCGAGCTCGATCCCTTGATATCTAGTAAATGGAAGCATATGACTTTAGAAGTATAACAAAAAAGAATGCATAAAACATAGAATTAATTTTATTATTCATAAGTTCAGACTGGTTCACTGGTACTTCAGTCAAGACATCAGTTTATTTGCCATGTTGCGTGCGTTTGCACAAAGGCCTCTAAAGGTTCAGCTTTAGGCATAGTCACACCTTTGCCTTCAGTCATGTCAATTTCCTGTTGGTTGACCAACCTTTTCCACTCGAAGCACTGAATCAGTGACCCCAAAACCAAGCCAACAGCACGGCGAGCTAGATCCATTCCAGGGCAAGACCTCCTTTCCCAGGCCAAATGGCATTAGCTTATAATTAGTTTCATGATCAATTTCTCCATTTGTCAAACCTGTCAGGCTTAAAACTTGTTGGTTTCATCCCACAGCTTGGGGTCCCTGTGAATTGCCCATGCATTGACTAACAACATAGTGTCCTTAGGAATGTGATACCCTCCTAGGTACAATGATCGAGGATCTATGGGGATTAAGATGGTGCTATCGAGTTTAGTCGAAGGGTCTCAGAGATTACGTTCTGTAAATAATTTAGTTTGCGTAGATCATGAACTTTCATCTAGCAATTTGTCTTGGCCAACCAAGGCAGTCTATCTCAGCTATAGTCTTTTTCCAATGCATTTGGATTGTTGAGTAAATTTGACATGCTCCATTCTACGTTGACACTATTGTATCCATGGATGCATTTGGCATGTCCTGGGCATGATCAAAGCAAACACATTTAAAAGTATTTTTAATGGTTGCTTAATAAAAAACCTACATGTCTTGAATGATTGATGCATTTAAAGATAATGAGTTATTTTAATTATACCAAAAATCATGAATGATTGATGCATATTACTCTAGATTGTGGTAGTCACTTGAACAAAAATAATAAATATAAAAAAAACGAATGTGACTAATACCATCATCTGGGCTTTGATGTTTTGATCAGTGTAATACTCAGGCTGTGATTCTTGCAAAGAAAGCAAATGGCTGATCATGGTGTTTTCCCTCCCAGAATCACCTTTATTCATTCTATGCTCATCAATCAAATCTTGCAAGAATGCATCTGTTTCTTTGAAAAGTCTCACTGTTTTCTTCTTGAATCCTTGAAAATCAATCCACTGCAATGAAGGGAAAAAATCTCCTATATTTCCTGAGACTCCCATCTGAAAAAGATCTTCTACAAGCTTCTGTAGTCTTTTTCCTTCTAGTTTTCCTGTCACTTCTTCTCCAATATTGTATTGTTTTCCTGCAACCATTCTGATATCATATTGAATGTGAATTCTGACAACATTGGTTTCAACTTTACCTTGACGAAACTATCATCCTGGCTAGAAACAAAATTGTACAAATTTTTCAGTAAAATCCTCGCTTCGTCCATCCGAATTGCCGAAGACAGTTTCAAGCAATTTGGAGAGAGTATTTCATGTCTGAATATACGACGAAGGTTGCGCCAATGGTCACCATATGGAGCTAAGCCTACATTGGTGTAGTTGTAGCCAACATACTTGCCTGCCCAAAAGAGAGGGCGGCTTGCAAAAATGATATCGTTTTTGGTGAAGCATTCTTCCACGGCGGAGGGTGATGACACAACAATGGAAAGGCGGGAGCCGAGCTGGAGGGAGAAGATTGGACGGTATTTTTGTGAAAGGGTGAAGAGGCATCGGTGGAGGGTTCCTTGAGGAGATGGAGGTGGCCTAGGATTGGAAGTGCAAAAGGACTTGGGGGTAGGTTCTTGTGTTTGGTTCTTGTTCCAAGCAAGAGCTTGATAATAAGGATGGAAAGAAGAAAAGGCATGAATATAGTGCAATTTTGTCTTCCATGCTAAAAATGCAATGGTTCTGGCAATTGCTATATGCAGCACTTGCAATCCTTTTATACAAAGAAGGTTCATGCAAAAATTAAATACAAAATGAAAATTTATAGTTTAGTTTAATTGGTT